ATCAAACGATTTAAATCTTCAGAAAAAAAATCATTTAGCACATAGGTGTACCTAGAATAGAATCAGCTAAAGCTTTAACTATCCTATCCTGCTCTAAAAATCCTACTTCCTACTTCATTCGTACTATCCTCCTTATACACTCCTGGACTCTTGAATCGAGCCACCTTACATTCCCGTGCCTAAAAGCCCAATACACAAAAAATATACAATATAGCAAAAAAGTTTTTATGCATTTTTAATGCTGGCATATTTCATCGTCTTTCCCGTATGTATTATTCCAAATTTGAATTTTAGAATTTAAAATAAAGAACAAAAGCCGAGCTTGGTCACTGATTTGAAAAAAATAATGACTGTTGAAAGTTGCTTTTAAAGCAATTTAATGTCGATTTGGTTAGAATTTTCGCAATTGTTGTAAACCTAGGTTTAGTTATTTTTCTATAATTTGAACCATTTTTGGCTATAAAATTATGGATACTTCACCTGAAGTAGCTGCGCAAGCTGTAGCACTTCTTCAATCTGGCCTTAGTCAGCGAGATGTGAGTTCACAACTTCACATAAGTCGTTCCGCTGTTCAAAGAGTGTACCACCGATACCTGGAGACTGGCGGCTTCGTTCGGCGAACAGGAGGACCTCGTTACCGAGTAACAACGGCGAGACAAGATAAATACATTGTCACTACTAGCTTACGAAATCGACGCCTTAAGCCAGAAACATATTAACGTGTCGTGTCGTGTCGTGTCGTGGCGCGCCAGAAACACATCGGTTTCATACATTTACTATGGTTTGAGACATATTTACGTGTCGTGTCGTGTCGACGCTCTAACCTCTCTATCTCTCTCTAACCCATAATAAATGTATGAAACCGATGCGCCACGTCACGCCACGATACGTTAATATGTTTCTGGCTTTAACTCTGTTCAGATACAAGAACAGCTCAGGGACTTTCACGGAGTGGCTGTAAGTGCTCGGACCGTTACCGACTCAATGAACGTGGTTTAAAGCCCCATAAGCCAGACAATGGACCCAAATTGACACGAGCACACCGAATAGCCCGTCTAGAGTTTGCGCGCGAACATCTAAATTGGACTCGACATCAATCGAGCCAGGTTCTCTTTACAGATGAGTCCAAGATAATGCTATATGGTAATGACGGAAAGAGTAAGGTGTACCGAAGACAGAACGAGCGTTTCGCGCAATGATGTATTGACGAGAAAGTGAGTTATGGTGGAGGATCATGGACAGTCTGGGGAGGAATCTCTATGGAAGGCAAAACTGAGCTAGAGGTAGTGACGGGACCACGACTGCCGCCCCTAGATGGCAATAGATACATTCGCCTATGTTTAGACAACCACGTGATGCCATGTGCTGGATTTATTGGCCAAGATTTCGTTTTAATGCATGATAATGCAAGGGCCCATACTGCGGAAATCGTCAGAGAGTACTTAAATGATGTCATTCGCGCTGGCCATCTCATAACAGTGATACCAATGTTGGTATTACTGTTATGAGATGGCCAGCGCGAAGTCCTGATATGAATCCTATAGAGCATCTATGGGATGAGCTGAAGAGGCGTGTTCGAGCTCATCATCCTGCCCCGCAAACCATGCAGGAGCTCAAAAATGTAATTTTGGAAGAATGGGAGGACATTCCTCAACATGTCATAACGACATTGATTAATTCTATGCCAAACCGTATGAGAGCTGTCATAAATGCACTGGGAGGCAATACAAGTTACTAAATAAACATTTATTTTCATGTTAAACATGGCTTTCTTTAAAAATCGATTAGATTTTTTTCCTTGAAGAAAGCAAATATGGACGTGTTTCAACGTAACTCGACTTTTTTAACAAACTGTAGTTAAAATTTAGAACAGTGGCACTCTAAATGAATGATAAGTATACCAGCTCCAAAACTGCATCAAAACATTTCCTTCTATATACATCTTTTATAAGTTACAGTGCTCCAAACCAAAAAAATCAAGGTGGCTCGATTTAGGTGTCCGGGAGTGTATTAGTATTTATATTATAAATGCGGAAGTTCCTATGGATGTTTGTTACTCTTTCACGCTAATGCATCTGAAGTGATTTGGATGATGATTTGGATGATGAATGCGAAATGCATTTACAAATAATTTATCACCAAGATTGACGCATATAGGATACATTTTATCCAGAATAATATTTAAGTTCCTGCGCTATTCTCTAAATACTATTGTAACGCGGAGCCAATAGCGGGCGCAAGCTAGTCTTAAAACATTTAGCTAGAGAATGTGATTCCAATGTTTGTTTGAAATGTTTTGAAATCATAGATGATAAACTATCAAATTTTGAATTAACGAGGGAGTCCAATGACAGCAACAAAAGATTTGAAGAGACAAAAACTCTTCTTTTATGATTCAGATTTTAGTGAAAAAAAATAAGAATATTTATGGAATTTAGAATTTTATTATTATCTTAAAAACATGCAATACAAAGTTTATGCTATAAAACTAATACTTGTGACACATAATATAGTATTTTATTAAAATTTTAATTCAAGTTTAAGTTAAGAAAGAAGGTTTATGTAGGGAATAAACAGATTTCCATAGTAGAAAAAACCCCAGTTTTATGATTCAGACAGTAATGACGAAAATTATAATATTTATTATTGAAATTAAATTTTAAGTTACTAAGTAGGTAAATACCAGTGTCACGTTGTTATTGGGTATATCATTCGGATTTTCTAAGTTGCTCGTGTTGTATTTTAATCAAAAGGACTGATAAAATTAACTGATTTAAGGTTCCATTCTTTGAGATAAAATTACTAATAAAAATATTAAGGTTCAAAGAATGATTTAATGTTAGTTTAATTGAAGCAAAACACTAAGTGTGACAAGAATCAAGAAATGGTAAATTCAATATTTTTAACAGTTGATTTAATCTTTATAGACTAAAAACGGTTATTATTTTATGCTTTAACTCGAGTATAAAAATGTAATTTTTCAAGTTATGAATTTTTAAAAATTTAGCTGCTAGATTTATTAATCTAAAGACTAGAAAAAAAATGTTTAAATATCATATTCAGTTAAAAAAAAATCTCTTTTAACCACTATTAACAATAGCACTCACTGAGAGTAGGTTGACGGCTAAGTCTGGAAAAAATCTAACATTTTTTACCTGAATGTTCTGCACTAGTCGGACATCAGTGTATCCAACTCCTCCAACTGACAGCGGCTCTTTATTAGCTACCGTTATTTCTTTACCTTTGGCTCTGTGACATTGTACAACCAATGTCTATTACCAGTCATATGAATAGACGCACCTGAGTCCATGAACCATTTGTTATGGTTTTTTCCAGAAAATGCTGAAAAACTTTTTTCATTATCTGTCTTGCTCCCCTTAGCACTCGTACAAAACTTAGCGAAGTAACCATAACTATTACAGTTGTTACATCTTGGCCCCTTTCTAACCTTTGATTGTTGTAGCTTATATTTATGTCTCCTTGCTTTTGAGTTTACATATAGAGCAGTACTGATATCAACTGACCTAACTTCTTAGGAGCTTGGTCTTGATAAGATCGGCATTAATCTTCGCGCCAAAACTCTCAAGCCCCATAATCATTGGAGCATAGATGTCGGGCAGACCTGCCAGTATTAAGGTGCCCAGCCATTCATCATTAATATCTCTATATTGAATCATAATACAGATTAAATAATAGACCTACAATATTCATAGTTGCGTTCCATTTCTAACAAAATCCCTAAATACCAACTTGTAACCAAATTAATAATATTGACATCTAAATCATCAACTTGGTGCTGAAATGAAAGTAAATAGATCATTCTGCGATTAAGAATTTGTTAGAAAACACTAAAAATACTTGCAAGCCCATTGTCTTTAATAATTTCCAAAATTGTTCAGCTCTGCAAAAAATTGTTAAACTATTAAGGAATCACTGTCTGTTTCAATGAAATTTCATGATCCGATTACCTAATTATTGTTAACACTATTATGTGCCTCTTGTTTTTTAATTGTTGTACTTGAAATATGTGCATCCGCCCTTTATTTCGAGAAATACACGCCCATTATTATTCGTCTGAAAAAAATGTAAATTGCTCCAGCGTTTCAGAGCATTCATTACAGGAAACAGATCATTTAGGAAATATCTCTTTGTTTTAGGCCGATGGGGGCCAAGATATACAACCCTCATAAAATATGACATTTCAAATGGGAACAGTAACGTTATTTTACAGTTAATATAAACCAAAGAAAATATAACTAGAAATTGTGTTCAAAAGGTTTCTTTTAGATTTAAACATCTAGCAGGTATATGTTTAAGAAATAAAAATATAATAAAGTAGTATACAAAGTAAATTAATGTTTTATCGTCATTTTCCTGAAGAGTGAATAAATATATAAGATTTCGATTAAGATGATGTATTTTTTTATTTATATAGCAATATTAAACCTGACCCATTTGTGGGATTTTTTTCTTAATTGTAATTGATTTAATTGTTAAAAACACAGTAAAATACTTTCACAAATGACTTATCTCTATGTGATTATATAATTAAAGCATTGAACTGTTTAACTACATGTTTTAATCGAAAGAAAATATAACTAGAAAAAATCCACTCGGTCCAAGTTTCAAACGGGTTTTGTGTGTAATATTTTATAGAAAAGTAGAATATTAAAATAAAGTTCATTTTAAAATGATTTTAAATAAATAATATGTAGGGAAATAGAGGCTCAAATTATTTATATCAATCTAATGAGTAGTGGGTGATGGAAACTTTTCAGGAGAAGAGTTTTAAAAATAATATTTGAAACCTTTTTATACTTTAATTCACAATTTAAACAAAAAAAATAACAAAAAAGCAACTCCGAATTTTTTTTTTTAATAAATGGTAATTACTTTTCGTGCATCAAGGCTCGGCAAAACCTCTACCTTGCACCACACATCAATCTACTGCATGAGTATAAATACTTCTAGAGATCAGAAGGATTTATCATTGTAGCATCAGGCAACTGAAAATCCTGCAAACATGAGTTATAAGGTGATTATTAAGATATAACAAAATGTGTTGTGGAAAAAAGTCTGTGAATAATTCAAACTGAAAATTGTCATCATGTTCATACACATATGTATTGTGTGGTGTGGTGTTGTTATTCAAAAGTGCCGTATTTGTCTTTTTTTTTTCAGATAACTTCACTGTTGGGCTTAGCCTTCTATGCCATGGTCAGTGGCCATGCGATATCTGAGCAGAAAGTGGTGAGATACTATGGCGAATTGGGACACATTGGAGACAAAGCGCCCGAGCATCATGAGGAATACGTTAGTAATCAATATTAAATTTAAATCACGATGCCTTCTTATAATTTAGATAAGTGTTTTATCTGCGTCGGAGATGACACTTTTCTGTGGAGGGAGAAAACTTCAGTGCCTTGGTTTTCCCGGTTTGAGGCCTGTATTAATTAAGATCATCAGCTCCCAAAAACTTAAACACTCAGCAGGAAAACTCAACATAAATTATTAAGAATATTTAACTTTACAAAGGATCTTGTAGTTGTAAAGAGGACCACCAACAAGATTTAAACTATCGTCATATCTTTTAAGCACCTTTTTGGTCTCTATCGTTTTCTTGGAATTATTTTTTAAACTTATGTTTTTTTTAAGCATTTAACTGCCTAGATGTTTAAATCTAAAAAAAAGTTTTACTAGAAAAAATCCACGCGGACCAGGCAGCGGACGGAACTCGAACCCGCCGCGGCGCGATCCGGGCGAATGCGCTGCCTGGTCCGCGTGGATTTTTTTTCTAGTCACACTTTTCTTTATTATTTTTTAAAGTTTAGATGCATAAAATGTACGAATATTCCCATCAATAGTTTACCTATATAAATATTTTGTTGTAGGCTTGGGCGTATCCCGCCTATGAGTTCTCATATTTTGTGGAAGATAAGCACACGCATGATATGAAGGGGCAAGAGGAGAGCCGACACGGAGACGAGGTGAAGGGCAAGTACTGGCTGATACAGCCCGACGGCCGCAAGCGCACCGTCACGTATCACGCCAACAAAAAAGACGGGTAAGTGGATCACAGAATTCACGGAAAGGTTTACGTTATAACCCTTTTGTGTCCAAATTGGCACGACAGTTGGCGTTTTAGCTAGATGTAGATTTGTGTAACTAAAAGATAATCTATGACAAGAATCAACCTGCTGGAAGTACGAATGTATCTAATATAAGCGATTCAGAAGAATAATTAAATAAACTTCTTAGAAGTTTACTCCGCATATGAACAAATTAAGAAAATGTTTTTTTATGAGACAATAAATTCAACGTAAAAAGTTCAAAGTTCGTGTTTATCACACTCACAATTTGGATTTATAAAGAGGAAATGTACGCAAGATGCAATTCTAGCCTTAACCTCTGAATTGGCGGAAAAGCTGGACAAGGAAAAAAATGTTTGACCATCTTTTGAGACCTAAAAAGGCATTGGACACCATTTAAGTATCTACCTTTTTTTAAAACTAGAGTGTGTGGTGTTATAGGCAAGCAACTGAAATTTCTTACAGATAACTTAACAGGACCTAAACAAACAGTAAAAATCTATAACTTTATCAGTGAGGAACTAGAAATTACTTATGGTTGTAGTGTAATTGGGACCTACACTTTTTTAGTAAACTTAAACGATTTATGTAATATCAAAATTACTAACCGAAAGATTTTTTCATATGCCTATGATGCTGTTATATTTTTTACTGGAAATTCATGTGCAGAAATGTATCGCATAGCAGAAATTGGTATGACCGTGGTGGCTAATTGTTCAAACAAAATCTTCTTACCCTTAACATTACGAAAACCAATTACATTTATTTTCTATGAGTAATCGAACACAGCCCAATCTCGATCTTAAGATCTGCAGTTTCGGTTATTATCATTATAACTGTATATGCCACAAAATAGACAAAGTAGGTTTTAGAAAATACCTCGGAGAGATAATTTTTTAATGGGACCAACGGTTGCCCCAAAATAGAGAAAGTAGGTTTTACAGTATACCTCGGAGAGATATTTTTTTTATCGGACCAACGTGGCCCTAAAATAGAGAAAGTAGGTTTTACAATATATCTCGGAGAGATAATTTTTTTATCGAACCAACGAAATGAGGATGCCATCCTCATCTTGAAGTAATTAATAGCAGAATACGAAAGATGATATGGATTTTTAAGTATCTTAGATATATCGCCACAAATAAATTACCAGGTATACGCTGCCCTTGCTCAATCAGTTCTGACATATGACATACGTATAATATGCTTCTAAAATATTTTTTTAGAGTTAGAACGTGGCCAGCGATCACTGCTAAAGGTGATATACAACAAACCCTACAGATTTTCAACAAAACATTGTACTCTTTGTTTGAGCTCCTATGAGTTAGAAGGCGTTATATGTTATATTTAATAATGGAGAAACGTAAAACTGTTTCTTTTATATATTATATAATAAGTTTAATAGACTGATACACATTTGTTTAAAATCATCATCTGAGCCAAAGAAACTAGTAACCGAATGGCTTTTAAATCTTAAATATGACGATATAGAAAAATGTATGCACATTGACGTATGAGATTAAGCTTAATAGTAGGTAGGTAGGTATATACATACTTTTTTCTTACTATGTTATAAAGATAAACATAAACATACACTTCTATAAAATATTTTTTTACTGCAATGGTGAGATATTTGTTTTGTATGGATATTTTTTATTTAAGGATACGAGGAAACGAGACACTTTAACACAGGTATATGTTTCCTAAAAGAGTGCTTCAATAACTTTTTAATAAATGTTATTTCGTCACAGAATATTTTTGTTTTTTTTCAATAAATATAACATTTATTATTTTATGATTCAAAAATATTTAATTTCTAAGAGGATATGTTACTCATTTGCCTTTTTACAGCAAAAGAAATTAAAGTACATACATAAGAAATTCTAATTATTTTTTGTTCTGTAATCTGTGTTTTTGTAGATCACTTAAAAGGAATATTGCTTATGCGATTTTCATTAAATATTTGTAATGAAATAATCCTTTTTATAATCTTTACAGATTCAAAGCGAACGTTGAATACTCCGACCCTCATCACGAACACGTCCAGGTTGACCATAAGCCCATTGTGGAAGATCCTGATCACAAAACTGAAATTGAGCATATTCCAGAAAATAATGAACCTGTACATGTCGAACATAATGAACCTAAACATGTCGAACATCATGAACCTGAACATGTCGAACATCATGAACCTAAACATGTTGAACACAGGAACAAACATAACATTGAAAATATTGAACACAAACCCATTGTTGTGATTGAGCCAAACCACAACAAACCTCATTACAAGATGGAACCGGTTCACCACAAGATGGAACCAGTTCATCACGAGATGGAACCGGTTCATGAGCGGAAAGATCATGACGTGGAATCTCACCGTGTGCCAATTCCACCTCTAGCGATGTATATTCCCCGCCGGCATAGGATCATAGAAAACTACCACCACCCACGCGACAACAGACGACATTGATATGGCCGTCAAATGAAATAAGAATAGGCTCATTAATTTATAACGTCTACATGATTGTGATATATCTTGTAACTACTAAAAAGGATTTGTAATCATAAATATGTAAAAGCAAATATCAAATAAAGAATGATGATCTCTGATAAATTGGTTTAATTTAATAAAATCTTACATCTTAGCATATTTTAGGATAAAAAAAAAACTTATTTTCCTTTAACATTTAACTCATAGATGTTTTTATATTTAAAGAAACCTCTTCTAGATAGTGGTCCTAATACAATGAACCTACTTAAAATTATCAATATTTTCATTAAAATGTTAATAAATCGTAATTTTGATCATAGTACATTGAACTAAGAGAATATCTATGTTATATTGTAATCGACATTTTGCCCGACAAAAACTTAAAACATTTAACGACGTTAAGAATATTAATATAGCACCCGCCAAGCCGCACTAGGCCCGAGTGGTAATTAGTCTTTACCATAAAAAGGATCTTAACTATCAATCCACAGTTGAGCCACAGCACAATTGAGCCCAGTGCCCTCCCTATCTATATTTATTTCTCCCTTTTCCGTCAATAAAAAAAAGTATCCTACCCACCAATCCTCACTGCGGCCGCGTGATGGGTCATGACCCGATCCCCCAATTCCACCAAACAGTTAAACAAAACTTTAAACCAAGTCCACAGACACCGCCGTCAGTGGTCGCCCACCTACCTGCCAAATCAGGTACCCACCCAGCTGTCTCGCCCCCATCTGCCATACCCCTCGAAAAGGAACTTTGTTCCAAGAAAGTCCTAAAGCCCGACGCACCACTGCACTTTTCGTAAAAACCTTCTACAAAGTATTAGAAAACTTAAAAAAAGGTTGATGAAATTGGTAAAGTCATTATGTCGTTCTTAAGTTATAGTCGTGACCAAAGGGAAATATTTTTATCCATACTATTATAAAGACAGAAAAGGATACACAGACAGACTTATCTTGAACTCTTGGCCCATTTTTTTTTCACTACTAGAAACTTTTATAATTTTATATACTCATAGTATTTAATACACCTGTGTGAAGCAGGGACGGACTGCTAGTATGTATATAAAGTTATCAAGCGGTTATTAGTGTTCTAAGATATACTAATGAAGATCGTACTTTTAATATTATCGATTCTGAATTAATAAATTCCCAAGAAATAACACCAAATTATTTGGTTTTAACTCACCAGTAAGTACTTAATCTGCAAATAAGCTGATATAGTAATATTAACCTAGTTTCATGAAATAGATGAGCCGTGCTGATTGCACGGCTCTCTGCGGGGCTATTCTGTAAAATTTTCACGCTCGGATCCAATGCGGATCCGCATCGGATCCGCCACCAAAAGCTTAAATAGTAAAACTTCCTTAACAACTCTGCATTAACACCAGTCTATTAATGGCCCCACTGCTTGGCCACAGGCCTTCCCTATAGATGGACGGATACGATGACGGATAATTTCCACAGTGCGACGGGCTTCTTGGTTTTATGCCGACAAAGTGAGGGTTGAGGGTCAAAATGAAGAGGGTAAATTTATTTGTTCAGGAAGGGTAACTCAACTAAGGTCCAAGTACAAATTTTGACAGCTTCGTATTTATTTCGTCATACTCATATTTTGTATGGAAAAAGCTAGTTTTTTCTTATGTCCGATACGATTATGGAGCTGCAAAAATTCCTGCTTGGGTCTCTTATAGAGCACTCACGCGGTCACGGTGATTTACGTAATCGCCATTTTGTTATCAAGAAAAGGATAACAATACAGCTCAGCCGTACGGACTCGGAAGCGGACTCGCCGTTTCGCTCGTGCTGCGTTGAAGCGTACAGTTCTATCTCGCTCGCCCGATTAAATGTTTATACACAGACGTGTGTGAGAGTTGCTTATGTAGTTGAGTCGGATCATAATTTATTTGATGCTAGTATGAGCGTACCATATCTTCTCTTTATGTTTTAATCTATGATTTTATATAAGACATCTCTTCTATAGTATTTTTTTCTATTGCATATTATTCATGGAGTAAATAAATGAAATTGATATACTTCTTTTACGAATTTTTACTAACTGAATCAATTTAGGATCGAAGCAACTCCCATGTTGAAATAAAAAGTAAGAGCCCCGAGCTCTGAACCACGGTACTGATAACATAATTGTGTAATATGTGACTGGACCTTTACTTACCGATAAAGGTGACTTTTCAGGATAGGTGCTCCATTACGAGCATAATATCTGATAAAGAGAGGTAAGCTCTCCCTTTAAAAATAAGTAACTATATTAAAAATCATGTATTTTCATAGAAATAAAAATAAAATAATGTATGTAAAAAATACTTTTTAATACAGTTGCTCAAAAAGTGGCGTATTGCAGGGACGTGTAGCGTTCGGGATCTGGGCTATTTCACACTCGTGCTTTTTTTTGCCTTTCCCGAACTCGTGCGTTTTCTTTCCCAACTGTCAAAATTATTTCTATTAAAAAAAAACAACCATGAAGTTTTAACTAAAAAAAATCATAGAAGTTTTTGCGATTCATGCAAATAGGTTTATTTGTTTTTAAAAAGAAGCTACCTATACTAATTTGTCCAATATCAGAATTAATTAATTGATTGAATGAGTTAGGTAAGGTGAAATGAATTCATTTCATATCATTAAATTTCAATTTCATTTCTTATAATAAAAAATACTAAGTACTAAAGACTTGGCTGTATGGGCAGTTCTCTTTGCCTACCAGAATGGGTGAAAAAAAACTGCTTACATTCTACGGTTGGCGCCATTTTCCGAAATTTTCTTTGCAAGTTTAGTTGTTTTTTACACAAAATGAGTAATTTCGACCTAATTTTTTTTGAATTAACTCCACCGGAACTCAGTATAATTGCACAAAATGCTTCGGAGAACATTTTACCGGAAAAGTCAACAATTCGCTACATATCTACATACGATGAATTTATTGCGTGGAAATCAGAAAATGTTATGTTGGCATACTTTTCCGAACTCTCAGCAAAATTAAAACCTTCTACGTTATGGTCAAGGTTTTCGATGATAAAAAGTATGCTGAATATAAGGAACAACGTGGATATAAGTCAATATCCAAAAATTAAATTCTTTCTTAAAACGACAATCAGACGGGTTTACCAGTAAAAAGTCGAAAATATTATTATAAAATATTATATAAATAAGCCCAATTGTTTATAATGGCATGCAAATTCCTTTTTCTCCTAGTGTTAAGAATCTTGGTTTGCACATTGACAGTACCTTTGGCTGGTCTACTCACATTAATGAGACATGTCGGCGGGTCACAAATATGCTCCGTGCCCTCTATAAATATAAAAATTTTCTCCCTGTTCACACAAAAATCTCTTTGATCCAGGCTCTTGTCCTACCATCCATAGATTATGCTGATGTGTGCTATCCTGACTTAAATATAGATTTTCTTGGTAAATTGGAGCGGTCTTTTAACAGCTGTATTCGCTTCATTTTCAGTCTACGGAAATATGATCATATCACTTCATTTCGCCGTGAACTCAATTGGCCGCCTCTTTCAAACCGTCGTGATCTAAGAATTCTCACAACTCTTTTCTCAATTCTTTTTGACCCTCATGCTCCGTCTTACCTGAAGTCCAAATTTCACCTTTTGAGTTCCACTCACTCTTGTCCTCTTCGTTCATCTGAAAACCTTCTTTTGACCATTCCTTCCCACTGCTCCAGCTTCGTGTCAAAATCATTTTGTCTCCAAGCTATTCGTCTCTGGAACGGTCTTCCGGAGAGCGTGAGAAGAGCACCCAGTAAACCTGCTTTCAAGGTCCTTGTACGTCAGCATTTCGCTAAGAAGTCATAACAATTTCCGTATTATGAACCAACTTCTGGTCAGTCCGACTATTATTAATATTATTTGTAATAGTTATTTTCTGTTTTATTATAGTATTCTTAAGTAAGTATAGTAGTATTTATTATTGTATATGTGTAGGTATTTATCGTATATATAAATATATAAACATGTATTTATCGTATTATAAATATATAAATATGTTATATATATGTAGTTATTTAGGTATATTTATAGATGTTAATTATTATATTAAGTAACATGTAGTTTTATGAATTTAATTTTGTTTTTATTTCTCTTTAACTATAATGCTTTAATTTACTTGACCGCATAATGTCTCTGCTTAGCCCGATGGTTGACTGGTAGAGAATGCCATGTGGCATTAAGTCCGCCATTTGTAACAAAACAATAAAGAGTAAATAAATAAATAAATAAATAAAATATTAACATCGAATGACGTGGAAAGGTTTTTGAAAGAAGCTCCCGATGATTGTTATTTAGCCACAAAGGTAATTTATTAATAAGTATACATATCTACATTTTTCTTTAGTGTTCATTTTACAAAATCGCTAAATACAGTCAATACATTATTTATATGAATCAAATCGTTTTTTTTAGGTTGCTCTGATTTTTGGCGTTGTTGGAGCTTGCCGCAGAGAGGAGTTAGCCAATATTACTTTAAAAGATATTGAAGCCCATGGAGAAATGCTACTTATCAAGATTCCAAACACAAAAAATAAGATACCGCGAAGCTTTGTTGTTGAAGGAGATTTTCTCACAATAGTGAAAAAATATATGAACCAGCGGTCCCAAAAAGGAAAATCCGACCGTTTTTTTCAAAATTTCCAAAAAGGGAAGTGTACAGATCAAGTAGTCGGCATAAACAAATTTGGTAATATGCCAAAAGAAATAGCTACGTTTCTTGGTCTGCCGGATGCTGAGTGTTATACTGGGCACAGCTTCAGAAGGACCTCTGCTACATTATTGGCAGATTCAGGAGCCAATTTGACGTCCTTAAAGCGACTAGGTGGTTGGAAATCGGACAAAGTTGCAGAAAGCTATATTGGTGATTCATTAAACAACAAACTAGAAACTGGGAAAAAGATCAAACAATCCATTAATTTAAGGTCCAGTCCGTCTCCTTCACATGCTGAAGAGAACGTTCGTCCATCTACGAGTACCTTCGTTGATAATGATAATTCATCAGATCCAATTCCATCAACTAGCAAACGCCATTGTATGACAAATATACATGAACAATCATACGAAATTAATAATAGTTTGTC